GCAAGTAGATCTCGTCTCGTAAACGTAAGCGCCTAAACAATGATGTATCATTTCCATTGGTTATTATTGTTCCCAATGAAAATGATACATCATTATTGTGACAAGCCATTTATTTCAGATATTCATTTGTCCATAATATTTGATAGAAAACTCATATAAACTGATGGGAACACATCATACCTAATCAATGACAGGGCAAGTAACTAGCATATCAAAAGTCAGGCAGAGGCATGTATCTAAATGAATATTTTAAATTTTCAAAAGCAGCAGACAATAAAATCTAAACGGTCATCTTTTTTAATGATTGATCCTCTTTCTTCGAGGCATAAAATAAATTAAATCAATGAATACTTGAATCTGTTCTGAGCTAATGTTTGATTTGTATAAATTAACTTTGATAGTTTCAGTTTGATTCTCATAACTATGACAAATTGAGCATTAAAAAACTTGAAACCATATTCGGAAACGCAAGGAAATTCGATTCTGGCTTCTGCGTATTCATAATAATCTAGCTTAACCTACTGAATGGTGGGCACAACCAAGATTTGACTTTCTTAAATGAAAAAGGAGGGTCGTAATACAAAGATCGAACACTCAGAAAAAATTCACAAAAAAAAATTAAATATCAATTCAATTCAAATACTTTTAATGTAATTAATTAAATTAACAGCGATATGTGTAGCCAGGGCTGGTTGTTGTAAAGTTACCTAACTGGGTGACGGAATAATTTCATAGATTTCTCATAGATGGCGCTATGGCTAAAACGTCGCTGAAAATATCAAAGATTCGACAAACAAAGACATGGAAAAATTCGTGAGGTCAGCTGGTTCGTTTCGTGGCTTAGTTGGTATAGCGTCTGGCACAGTTTGCTAGAAGACGTCGGTTCGAATCCGGATCGAAGGAATTTTTCCTAAGTGTTCGTTCTTCGTATTAATAATTATAACATAATGATAGTGTTACTTGGAATGCAGTTCATTTATTAATTTATCCATAGATCAACTAGTATAGACGGAAAATATCCACAAAAAAATATCGTTAAAAGTGTACATTTACAATAGAACAATTATATTTTTGACGATCAAATTTTAATAACAAATATTCCATATGAAATAAAGATAGAGATTTGAACTTGTATTTGACAGTTGAGTCAAGCGCGTCCACCGCTCCAGTTTTGGGGATTATCAGCCATTGTGGTCAGGATCCTATTCGTAATGAGACACATGCGACGGACTAGTGACGCGCTACGCTTTCATATATGTAAAATAGCGTAAATTATTGCTGTCGGCTCTGAGACTAGTTTTCCCCTTATTTTTTTTTATATAATATCAAGTGCCGGGACAATCAAGTAGTAGTAATAAGTAGTAAACAGTTGCAGTGCCAGACAGAGCTTTAAGTCGAAAATATATGCGGTGCACTGCCACTGCGCCTGTCACCCTGAGACATAAGTTGACAAGTCCCATGTGCCTGTAATTTCTGTAAGTTCTGTAAGTCCTGTAAGTTCTGCTACTGCCTAATTTCATATATCTTAAAATATTTTTGTCCCATTTAAATTAATAAAGAGTGAAGGGGTTAAAAATGACGAATTTTTTTGGTATAGGTAAAAATTGGTATAGTTTCTGTACAAAGTGGACTTTGAAAACTAAAGGAGTTTACAACGGAATGTTACCTAACTTAGAGTCCACAACCGCATAAAATAGTTAACAAAGAATTCCTTTATTGCGTGAGGGCACGCACACATATTTGGTCTCGATGGTTCGGTCTATACAACAGAATACATGTCAAGAATATGTAAAGGTATTTCACGTATATCGTAAATTAGACCGATAAAAATAGAGACGAAATGTCATTTAATTTGTTTGAAAACTATTTTGCCATATCATTACTGTGACAACTGCGCTTCGATTGGCCAGCCCGAATTCGAAACAATTGACGGATGTCGTCAATTGTTTCGCTTCAAATCGACCACTTAACTTGAGCTTTGCTGTAATGGACGAAAATTGATATTTAATGTTTAATTACCGATGAAATTTGATTGTTTGTTTTGTAATTAGATGTTTTGCTATTTTTCCACACACCACCATATAAAACAGCACGCCATTATTAGAGATATTATATTTATTACAATAAATACAGATTATTTTTGGAATATACGGAGACGTACAGGTCAGTTGTTGGCCTGTCCCTATTTCAGTGCAAACGAGAGTTGATATTTATAAGTGATGTATCTCTGATGAGTTACCAGGAATGTATAGCCCTTATTTCGTCTCTATTTCTGGCTATATACTCGATGCAAATGAAGCTTCAAACTTAAAAAATAAGTGCGCATTTGATCTCCATCTCCATGGAAAGTGACGACGAGGCGAGGATGACGATAGCGTTCGGGGAACCAGTCTGCAGGCAGGGAATTCCACTCCCTAGCCGCTCGTAATACAAATGTGGAAGCGATACGCTTCGTGCGAATCCAGGGAATATCCACAACATAGGGGTAGAACCCTGCCCACGTCTAGTAGCTCAAAATAACACTTTCCAAATTATCGACGGTTGTATTGATAAAGTAAAATAATTTGTAAAATGCAGCGTAGATTGGAATGTTCTTTGGACAATTTAAAATAAGGTATTTAATTAATAACCTTTGCAACTGTAGTGAAAAATAGGTTAGTGAGCAATAATAAATATTCGTTCATCACAGTCAGCTGTGACCATGGGTCCTTTAAACGGTCCGAAATATTGGTTTGTTTGAAAAAACAAACACTCGATTTGGATATAAAACAATTGTTTTATTTCCTATGTGTAACAATCGCGAAAAGCTAAGAACTCGATATTATCGAAGGTTAATCAAAAAACTTTAAATTCTTTAAGTAACAATCCATTGGCTCATTGTCTGGAATATAACGTTGTTCAACTTTGACATGTTGTGACCTTTTTTTTTACACCAGCTTGCTATGTGTCCTGGAGGTCTATCACGAAATACGAAACAACGATCGAAGATCGTGATTTGAAATAACTATTTGTGGATCGTTACACCGAAACGTTAAATGACAGCAATCGTAACGAATTTTGACATTACTTTCATTATAAAACTGAATAGTGTAATACGTATGAGCTTCGTTGCGGACATAGAGACGTAGTATTGAATTTCGTGGTAGACCTCCTGAATGGTTGATATACTGATAAATGCTGACTGTCTTCACTAGGTTCCGGTTTCTCTATTTGTCTTACAAACAAAACTTCAACTGACTATGTTATACTTTTGTGACGCTATAAAATAGCATTTTTGAAGCAGTAGAGCTCCTTGTAAAAGAGTTCGTCCAGGGTAGTACCGCTACCTTATTTATTTCTGCCGCCAAGCAGTAATGTCAGAATTACTGTGTTCCGGTTTTGAAGGGTAAGACGCCTTGTTGGTCCCGTCACTTGATGTTATAAAAAAAACATAAAAAACAATAAGATAACTCTCAGTAAAGTAAGTAACTACTGCTTACAATAAAATTACGTAACTAATTCTACATACAAGGTTATTTCGTTTTGGTGTCGTGGGCATTTTAAATTTCTAAATTTGTAAGAAATCTATGGAAGTTTTACTGACATGTTATTCATTTATATTTTGTGGAATTACTGCACTAGTTTGTTATAATTATTAATACAAAAATTGAGAGATTGTGTTCTACTCTGTTTGCCACAGACACATAGAACTGACCAATTTTGAAAAAATCTAATAAGTAACAGACCGAATAAGGAATCTTATTCCTTATTAATAAAGTATGTTGGATTATAGAGACCGGAGTATCGGTTCCAAAGGTCGCTGCATATCGAATGACCGCTGAACAGTGCTCGACATAAACAAGACGATGTCAGCTATTATCTGGCGTTGCATTGTCGTTTGAAAATATGTTCATGATGGAACCCACAGGGCAGACATAGTTTTCGTGGTAAAAGTAGAATCGATAGATGAAGATAGATAGTCACACATTCATTAATTCTTATCAAAAGCGTTTTTTTTATGACATCAAGTGACGGGACGATCACGTCGTGCTCCAGGCGGCAAAGAGTGCACTGAGAGGGCACTTCTTTGGCTCGTAGTGAGGTTTACAAATGCTGTTGTCTTTTTATGTGGCAGGTTATTTAAATTGTGCATCGCACAGGTTATAGTACACTTTCCGCACAACCAAGAGGTTAATAGTGAGAGGCCACTATAAACAAAACTTATGTAGAAAGATATGGGACTGTCCATCAAGGTTCCTTATTATATTTCTATTTGTGAAGATCTGTAATTGGCTTTCCGTTACTGTTAATATTGTTGAATTTAATTTTAAACTGTTGGTCGTCCTGATAGATAAATTAGATAATATATAAAATAAAAAATATACCAACGATACGATAAGAAGTGTCTTCATCATCCTAGTGACAGGTTTTCTTATCGTGTTGATACTTCTTTATATTAGGACTATATTGACCCTGAATAGCACGTTACCACCCCAACGGTATTAGGATTCAAGGGGCACAACAGTAACTGCTTCATGTATTGTGTTGGGGCACCGCAGTCCCTGAAACCCCGTTTAGAATTCGTGTCTCTGCAGCGTTCTACCTGAGTGCGAAGTCGATTTCAAGACTTCCACATGGGCCATCGCAGAACGCAACCTGGTAGTAGTTGCTCTTGAGGTATGATGAAACCTGGTGGTGGAGGGGTTTTTCTGTCTCCACAGGGCACACCTAGAGACAATTGAATGATCACTCGTAACCTTTGTGGTGCGCAGGAAACTTTCACAACCTTTGGAGCGAGCTCAGGGAATTTGGTGGCGACTGTCAGTCTCTTGCTTATGCTTCTCCGCGGAGTATGCTACATCCCGAAACACATGTGGTGGTGCTATATGTGCTAGAGGATATTCCATAATGAGAGGCTTTCGAGGAACTTGTGCCATGTTTGTAAACAATTCACTTTCTAGCTGGTGAGATTGTGGACAAACGTGTAATTAAAAAAAATAGGTAAATAAGCGGCTACTTACAAAAAATCTCGTCGAACAGTCTTCTTCCAAATATAAACCCACTGATATCGGTCTCCAGTCATCAAATAAACGGCCAACAACGTGATAACACTCAACAACGTCATAGAATTCCTTGCCAACCATGCTAGCACGGCACATGTTATCCCTATGCTTAGAAGAATCACTCCCTTCCTTTTCTCTGCTTCCTCGAAACGGACTTCTGGTCGTCCTGCCATCCTGATTGATTAGTTGCGCTTCATTTGGTTCTGTGGAAGAAGTAAATGAAGTGTTAATAATATTATCGACTTTTGCCGAAGATACAACTTGGAGATGTTCAAGGCACTAGCCTTTTGGGCTACCGAATGGGCATTTCCTAGACAAATGCGATGGCTCCCTAGTCGCTTAACATCAGTTGACGTCATTGGTGAGTTATAAAACAAACACAAATATTTGTAAGTTTGAATCTCTCTATGTTTTATTACCATTCAATTATTTTTTGTGAAATTACTCAACTAGTTTGTTATAATTATTGTAACAAAGATCGAAACTAAGAAAAATTCACTTATTCATTAATATTAAAACTACTAGATTCTAGATCTAGATTTTTTTATAATAATAACGTACACACTCAACATAGCCCCGCACTAGGGAAACCTTGTGTCGCGGGTGCCATGGACACACACATAGACAACCACAAATTACATCCAAACTCAAGAGAGGAATAAATGTAGGCCATACAAATATTTCTCCCGACCTCTGCGTGGCAGTCCGGCGTGGTAACCGTTCGGCCACTGAGGTAATTAAAAAAAGATCTTTACTAGAGACTTAAAAATTACAATTATTAAAGCGACATCTGTAGTCAGCGATGGTAGCTGCGAAAGTACCCTTCTGCGCACACACTCAACATAGCCCCGCACTAGGGAAACCCTGTGTCGCAGGTGCCATGGACATACATAGACAACCACAAATTACACCCAAACTCACGAGAGAAATAAATGTAGGCCATACAAATATTTCTCCCGGCCCAGGAATCGAACCTGGCACCTCTGCGTGGCAGTCCAGTATGGTAACCGTTCGGCCACTGAGGCAGTTTGAGATAAGCCAAGGCTGACTTTTCTCACATATATAATAATAAATAATATCAATAATAAATTGTAATGTCGACTTACAAATGTAGTTATTGGGAAAAGTTTTCCTGTATGCAGGACGAGTTCATGGTTGAATTTATTTCTAGAAGCAATAATCCAGGAAGTAACCGAACCTTTTATAAAAAAGAAGCTTTTCCTTTTAACAATACGTTAGGTATTTGGAAACAAATAACTTTGATAATCCCTTTGAAATCTTGATAAAAATTACTTGGTACGTTTGAGTCTAGTCATTATTGCCGTTTAGAAAGTATAAAACTCTCGTGAAATTAAAGGCAAAAAAAGTTATTATATGGCTATGCGTATGATCAAAATCCGTGATAGAGATCCGATTAGCTCTTTGGGGTAAATTTTATCTATGATATTTGAAATAATGTTACTTATAAATGATGGACTGTTTATTTACAAAGAGCAACATCTACGAATAAGTATTATTCGTAAGGCAGATTCCCCTGAGATGAATGAGTAAGAAGCTCTGTAAATAATATACAGATGCAAGTGACGGAAGCGTAAGGTAGGTCTGGAATGTAGCGGATGCAGATCATATATATGTATGTATTTTATATGAAAAGAATGTCCCGCGCTGTGGCGCTTGTGTCTGGAAATGTCAAATTAATCTCAGAAAATGCAATAAATATTCAGATCTCATAATTTTAAAGCATCTACATTATTTTTATTTCTTAAAGTTATAGAACAAAAGCTAATTGCTTTGATAGTACGAATGGCGTTTTAAATGGCCTAATAAAACTCTGTGGACTCCACATCTGGATAAAACAAAGGATTATTCAGAGGAGATAAATTACCAGACGTTTAGCGTGGCAGGATGGCATTCAAAAGCATATGAAATCTAATGGATTTATAATTTAAAATTAAATCGAGAAAATGGACTGTGTAGTTTATGTTTCTCATATTGTTTTACCTAAATTGTTATTTACAATAAGATACCGGAGCATATCATTTTCTAAGTTTAACTTACATTAATAGTATTTTAATTTAAAAGTCATGTTACAAAATTAAAGACTACGGGTTCGATAAATATTTATGGAAAGACGACATGGCTTTAGATTCTACACAAACTTGACTCAAAGTGTATTCCATAGCATTTAAGTGTATTTGAACAGAGCAGCCCCTGGAGTTTCTTGCTCGTTCTTCTCAGGGAATTCATCACAGTGAATGAGCAGTAGCTTAAAAAATGACGTTTTCTGTGTAAAATTATTTTACCCGTCGAGTATATAACTAGAAATAGCGACGAAATAAGGGCCATATATTCCTGGTAACACATTAGCGCTACAGCTCTTATAAATATCAACTCTCATTTGCACTGAAATATAGACAGGCCAACTACTGACCTGTGTGTACGTCTCCGTGTATTCCAAAAAATATTCTGTATTTATTGTAATAAAGATAATATCTCGAACAATGCTATGCTGTCCTATTCGGTGGTGTGGGAAAAACAGCTAAACATCTAATTACAAAACAAACGGAATCACATTTCATCGGTAATTAAATATGTAATTTTGCAATTTTCGTCCATTATAGCAAAGCTCATGTTAACTGGTCGATTTGAAGTGAAACAGTTGACGACACCCATTGACGACACCCGGCAATTGTTTCCAACTCGGGCTGGCCAATCGGAGCGCAGTTGTCACAGTAATGATATGGTAGAATAGTTTTCAAACAAATTAAATGACATTTCGTTTCTATTTCTGGTTATATTCTCGATGATTTTACCTAATGCAATAAATGATTGTTTAGCTTTGACTTTGTGCATTAAATGTGTGTGTGTGTTTGATATTGTTAAAAATTATTGATTTAATGTTTAAGAATGCTTTTGTATCTAAAATATAACAATAAACAAATTTCTCCGCTTATCTTTTTGATTGGCCAGAGACTGTTCCAGTTCACAATGCAATTAAGAACTGCATTGTAATGATAATTATAACATTTGGACACTTTTAGGGCGCATTTAATCTATACGAACTTCATCCTGCTCACCCCGTCGAACGGAGTCCGCGTCGCCGCCGCACAGCGACCGCGTGCGCCTAACTGTCTTGGCAAAATACGCTATATTTGTAGTAATAGGGGTTAAAGTATGAAATTGCCGATTTGTACTGAAAATCTAAATTGTTTATTTTTTAAATTTTTAACAAATTTATTTAATCAAAATAGTTGCCATTATTATCTATACATTGCTGCCATCTAATGGGAAGGTTATTAATGCCTTTGCGATAGAACTCCGACGATCTAGACTGCACAAACTGTGTGAAAGCATTTTGTACTACCTCCTGGGAAGAAAACTTCTTGTCACGTAGATAATTGTCCAAATCACGAAAAAAATGGTAGTACGTTGGAGGAAGGTCTGGTGAATACGGAGGATGACGAATGGTTTCTAACTGCAGTTCCTGAAGGGTCAAAATGGTTTCTCGTGCTGTGTGAGGTCTCGCGTTGTCGTGGAGCAATAATGGTGAAAATCGATTCATGAGTCGGGGCTGTTTTACTGCTAGTTTTGTCAACATGGTTCGGAGTTCGGCACAATAGACATCTGCCGTTATTGCTTGACCAGATCGGAGAAAACTATAGTGAATAACACCATGCTGAGACCACCAAACAGTTACCATTACCTTTTTATTGGTAAGTTTTGCTTTAGGACACTGTTGTGGCATTTGACCTGGGGTCAGCCATTGCATTTTTCTTTTCCGGTTATCATAAAGAATCCACTTTTCATCACATGTTACAATTCGACCCAATATTCCTTCATTTCTGTACCGGTTCAACAAGGCAACACAAGTTTCAACACGCGTTTCTTTCTGCAGATCAGTCAAATCATGAGGCACCCATTTTTCGTATTTTTTTATTTTATTGATTTGACGCAAGTGAGTCAATATTGTGGGTAAGGTAACGTTAAACCATGCCGCTAATTCCTGGGTAGTTTGACTAGGATCGGCTTCCACTATCTCTCTTAATTCATCGTTATTCACCTGTGTGGTCGGACTTCCTCGTGGCTCGTTCTTTAAGTCGAAATTTCCATCACGAAAGCGTTTAAACCAAAATCGCACGGTGCGTTCATTAGTAGACCCCTCTCCAAACGCAGCATTGATATTGCGGGCTGTTTCTACCGCGCTAGTTCCGCGTCGGAACTCGTATTCAAAAATCACTCGAATTTTCGCAGTATCCATCTTTCTTGTCTAAATTGAATAACAAAAACAATTGAAAGTCGATATTCAAATGTTTCAAATTTAAAAAAAAAATCACAGAAACCATTTGAAAAAAGTTTCATTCGAAAACCTCAAACCATGAAGATTCTATGAAAATTCAAAGAACCTATTGCAATAAAACGGCAATTTCATACTTTAGCCCCTAATATTTATTGCGTTAAATGACCGTCCCGGGTATTTTTTTTATAATTATGAAGGATTTTTTCAAAGAGAAGATGTTTTCATTATTTTGTTTTTCAATTTGAAGTCGAAGGGTCTAATTTTGAATTAATCATAGTAGTATTCTATATATTTTATTATTAATTGTTACATCCAGTAAGTTACAATATGTCCCCTTAATGAAAAATATATCTAAAGACTTAACTAATTAAATATAAGACAAACTAAATATACCATCGCAAACTTAGTCACAGGTAAAAGAAAGTATTCAAGTCATTGACTTATAATTAATTATATGGACGTCGAGTCCGCGCTAAAAAGTGTCCGAACTTATAGGGCGTTAAAATCGTATACAGAGCGTTATTCACGCTTTAGTCTTCGTTTGTTCGACTGACAGCGAAGCAAGCAAAATTAGACAGTACTGAGATGACATTACAATTTAAATTGAACGTTTTAGCTTTTTCATATTCCTTAACATGTCACTACGTTTAAATAGGTTGACTTGGGACATTTTTTTCGTGGTTTTTGTATTAGACCCGTCGTCCATTTATTTGTAAGTCAATGATTCAAGTCCAATAACTAACTCAAGTTATCAAACCTAAACCTTTTATACACCTGTCATGCGAGCCTCGTTGTAAGGCTTTTGTTACGATATCAGCAGGCATTTCGTTAGACTGTAAAAAGCTTAAAGAAATAGATTTTTCACTAATCTTTTCTGTTTGATACCTAGTGTCTATATGTTTCGAG